CTCTCTGGTCAAATTAAAATAAATAAATGGATAAATAAATTTGGAAAAAAAAAAAAAAAGAGTGCTTAAGAAGTGTGGAGCAGTGGTGCTGCGGTACAAAGCACGCTGTGATGCTGGGCCTACATGGGCAGGTCTGTGTGTACACACCAGTGTGCCCATGAGCCTGTGATCTAGGGTGGATGAGGCTGGCGGCATGATGATCATGTTGGAGGTGACATCTCTCTCATCATGTAAGGAATAAATTAACTTGGAAAATAAAAAAGACTGCCTAAGATTCTCTCACGGTAGTTAAAATTTTAATACCTTGGCATTTAGCAGCATGAAGAGTACATGGTCAGGAGTTGCCTGGGCTCGCCACTGTAAAATCTCAGCCAGAAACTGGTGCTGAAGTCACAAAACAGAAAAAAAACACTCTAGATCAGTAACTTTGAAAAGGTTATATAATTCATCCCCCTTTCTGCTACCTGAAGTGTAAGTTCTATGCTTGACTTGTCTGCAAAAAGCCAACACTTCCAGGACACTTACCTTCCTCACTAAATCATTTTCTTCAATTTGCCCCAGATCCCTTCCAGCAGCTTGTGCGATGCGTTTCCCGGCAACCAGATTCCCAACCATCACAGAAGCAGGACCCACACCTGTAAGTACAGGCAAAAATCAGTATCCTGGAGATAGCAATTCAAATTTCACACCCAAGGGACCAGCAGTTAACGTAATGGCTATGTTGCTGGACTCCCACGTAGTCGACTGTGGTTTGAGTCCCGGACCCGGTGGCTTAAACTCACACCGGGCACGTGTGCATGGGAGCCCAAGATCCCGAGAGGAGAACGGAGGAGAAGGGACTGAGGCGTAGCCATCCCCCCTGGGGGGTGATTTCTCACTTTCTGTCAGGCGAGCGCACGTGCCCTGTAGTAAAAACCTCTTCAAAAAAAAAAGAAAAAAAAAATTCACACCCCAGGCTGACCAAATCATTCGACAATAATGACGGGGTCATCTACCAGGGACTGGGAGCACAGTAATGAACATACGAAGAGTTGGTGTTCTAGTGGAAAAGGCGACCAGGAAGTACATGTACAAATAAACTCAGATGGAGAGAAGTGCTAGAAGGAAACAGGACCACAGCAGAGAGACAGGGCTGGGGGTGAGGACAGAAGGTGGGTTGTTGCTGCCTGAGGATACAGGGAAGTTTTCATTCTGAGTAAGAACCAGTTAGTTGTTCTACTTCTCACTGATAAATTATTTTACCTGCTCCAATCATGAAAAACCCTAAAAGAGGGCTTGACAATAATGGATATCTGATCTGAAAAGAAATTTGCCATTGATGAGGACTGAGAGAGACTTTATCAAGACTACCAGAACTGCTTTATTAAAAGTGAATAGTAGGGACCAGCAGTTGGCCTAATGGCTATGTCGCTGGACTCCCATGTAGTCGACCACGATTTGAGTCCCGGACCCGGTGGCTTAAAACTCAACGCTGGGCGCGTGTGCATGCGTGCCCAAGATCCTGAGAGAAGAATGGAGGAGAAGGGACTGCAGCGTGGCCATCCCCCCGGGGGGTGATTTCTCGCTTTCTGACTCTCTGTCTCTCTCTTTCTGGCGAGCGCACGTGCCGGGGGTACATTCTATAAGACAACTGGCCTGTACTCTTCAAAAACATCCATGTATTGAAAACAAAGGTTGGGTGCTTTTAAATTACAGGACGTGACAGCCAAATGCAATGTATGACCCTGACTGGATACTGGGTTATTAAAAACCAGCTATAAAAAGTAGAGAAATCTGAATATGAACTGCCTACTACTAGGTGGTAACATAATACTGAGGCTAAATGGCCTAAAAGGATAACATTATCACTGTTAATAAGGAAAATTTAGGAGAATTTTTTTCCTTTGGAAATACATGTGCTGAATGAAATATCAATACTTAGGGGCAAAGGATCATGATGTCTGCAATTTACTTTCAGAGTTTAGTTCAAAAACATAACGGCATTTAGTAAATCTAGGGGAGGATATGAGTGTTCACTGCACTATAATTTCAACTTTTCCATAGCTTTGACATTTTGAAATAAATGGGGAAGCCCTCCCCTTCTCAAGGAAAAGTGCCTGGGTACCATATACCTGTCTTGCTAGTCAATTAAAGATGAAGCTCCCATCTAATGGAAATAAGATGGTAAAAAGATAAAACTCACTGTTAGCTGTTTTTTTTTGTTTTGTTTTGTTTTTTAATTTTAATGCTATTTATTTTTTTGATTTGACCAGAGAGGGACAGAAAGAGAGAAAGAGAAAGAGAGAGAGAGAGAGAGAAAGAAAGTGAGAAAGCA